TGGGTCTAGGTTGGGCTAACCTTGGGCTAAGTCCAGTATTTATGTTATATTATTGTTGTATTTCCGTTGTATTTTAGTATTAATGTAGTATTACTTAAGTTGTATTCAAGTATAATACTTTAGTTATATTATGGAAGTTTTTCCGTTGTATTCTGGTATTAATAGTATTAATGTTATATTCTGGTATAGTATTAAGTTTATATTCTGGTAGTTTTTTCATTGTATTCTGCTATTATTATAGTATTATTTATGTAATACTTATGTAATATTTAAGGTAGTGTTAAGCAGTGATTAGTTCGGTATTATAATTAAATAACAGGTTTTATTGCGATTTCATGTTGATTTTTTAAGATAATATTGTGTGTACTTGTGTACAACTCAAAAATAGTAAAATACAACTCATATATTACTCTGAGTGATTTGTTACTCAAGTACAACTAAAATATTACCCAAATGGTCTTCTCAATGAAGATAGAACCACCAAAATAAAAATTAACTGAATGAACCCTCTTGGATTTCCTTCTTCTTTCGCTCTTTCGCTTCCTTTTTCTTGCGTTTCTGGGTCTCCATTATCGATTCCTCTTCGGTTTCTATTCTCAATGACTCTTCCGTCTCCATTCTCACTGTGTTCTCTTCGGTTTCCAACAGCAACTCTAAAATCCTAAGTTTTTCTGATTAAAAAACCCTGAAAGATCGAATGAGGGTGCTCTGCGCTCTCCTTGCTTGGGCAATATTTGGGTTTTCGATGAAATTATCTTTTTTTCAGGCGCGCTGTTTAACTTTTACGTGTTTTGGGCCGGACTCGGGCCAGGTTGAACCTGAAGAATGCCTTAATTTCTTTTTTTTTAATTGTGAGGACAACACTTGCAAGTGTCACCTTTCTAATGAACAGAATAAGCGAATAAGCGCTCCTAAAAGACAGCCCGCTTACTAAAGGGTCGAACTGTAAGAATGCCTTAATTTCATTTTTTTAATTGTGAGGACCACAGTTGCAAGTGCCACCTTTCTATTGAACAGAATAAGCGCTCCTAAAAGACAGCCCGCTTACTAAATGAGTTTGCTACTAATAAATTCCACTTTGGTGGGCAGCGGTCACTCCACATCAACTATGAGGAAGAAGAAGAGAGCGTGATATACCCATTGTGGGCAGCGGTCACTCCACATCAACGACACTATGAGGAAGAAGAAGAGAGCGTGATATACCCATCCAACTCCCTGATCTCGCAATCACGGATATTGGAAGCAGGTCCGCATCTCCTTCGTCTTCGTTGCAGTATTAATGATTACAGCCGCCTACAACGCTCAACACCTCTCGTCCTGTCCCATTCTTTCCATCTCTAGCAATCAATTCGGCATCATTCGTACTTGGAACACCAGCTTGAGAGCTCGAGGTTAATAGGCTATTTTTGTGGATATTTCTTTCTTTTTTTTGCTTGAAGGTGTGCCTTGTTGCTGTTATGATTGATGGCTTGCAGGGAAATTCATGCATTTTCTCGGTTAGGATTACCTTTTGCGCTGAAATCCCGTTACCCTTTTTATCAGATTGTTTGATTTCTGTAGGTAGAGGGGGAAATTGTGAGGAGTTCGGTGACTCTGGAAGCTGTTGCAGGTTTGGGCTGTCCCTATTCCTTCAGTTACTGCCTATGCTCATTAACAATCGCTTTTGAAACATTTGTTTATCTTCCTTTCTGTTTTGATTTAGCTGTTTATGTTCTTCACACGCGGAGATCGATTACCTTCTGATGAGCAATGTTTGATTTTTTTAAAAAAAAGTTTTTTTTATCTTATTGTTGTTGAATGTTGACTATGAATTTCTTAATTTACGTGGAATCATGGAAATACTGAAAGCTTCATTGTTCTTTTTTAGTACATTTTTTTTAATATAAGCTCCTAAATTTCATTTTTTTTTACTGGGGTGCTGGCTTCAATGCCAGGAAACGTGTTTTACATTGTGTAACTTTTGCTGCTGTCTGCAACTGCTGGTATTGCCGTTGATTTGCCTAATATGGCGGTTGGAAACTCTAGTCTAATGAGCTGATTACTTGTTAAAAATAGTTTGCGCATTTTTATGGTTGAAGACTCTTTGTTCCCTTCCCCGAATGATTGGTAGAGTTTATTAGTTCAATGGGCTGAATTCTTTTTATGGGGTTTGATGACAGTCTTCTTTGTGTGTATATTTTAATGGTGCTTAACTCGTGAGAAATAATCCAGGCTGGCTAATAATTCCACTTTTCTCATCAGTTACTATACCTTTTAGTTGATTATTGATTCGTGGAATTTTATTCATTCAAAATAATTTCTTTCCCGAGTGTTTAAAGGACATTATGGCTTCTTCTTGGTCAATATTTCTTGTATTAACATTAGTTTAATATAACTAGATTTGTATAATCTGTTTCTTTTCAGGAAAAATATTCAACATATACATTTTTTTTCACGTCTAAAATTTGGTCTGAGAGCTCCAGGTATTTCAGAAGAGGTTCTGCTCTTCAAAGACATCTTTGTCTTCCATGGATGATCACACTAAGAAAAGACCAGCTGGTGGGCTGGAATTATCCAAAAGAAGTTCTGGTCTTCCTTTGAAAGAGACAAAGCATGCGAGAAACTTTCATGAGTGCAACGCTACAGGTTGCAGTACTGGGCATAATTCAATGAAAAACACTCAAAATAACTGTTCTGGGAAACTTAAATATTTGAAACATCCTTTGTGCTTTAGAAGCAGCAATCCTAATTCTGCAAGTTCTTCAAGATCATTGTCTTCAAGTATCAATTTGAATTGCCATGGAATTCTAAATGAGGAATCTCTCAAAGAAGCAAATGTGGCAGAATGCACTAATAAACAAGCCGAGAAAGACGATGGTTTCATGTTTGATTTGGAGTTCCATGGAAGAAAAAAAGAGAATGAATATTCTGGAGGTCTTAAACAACCCGCTATTCACAGTTTTCCTTCAAGTTCAACAAAAATGCCAAGCAATTCCAAAGCCACATTTGCCAGCAGATATGGCAAGCAAGTTTGTCAAAGTTCCAAAAGTGCTATTCAGGACAATGCAAACCCTCCTTTCTGCCATTCTTCAATACCAAGAATTGCTAGTCAAATTCCTACATTTACTCCACAGTGTGTGATTGATAGACCACTTGGGTATGGTCTGAAAATTGTTGGCGCTGCATCAATTTCAGATGCTCTTTCATTTGTTTCTTCCTCTGCTGGACATGATAAAAGAGCTGTTTTACTCAGAAAAAATTCTCAGGATGGAGAAGGTTCCTCGGTGTTGCAAGTGCCTGATGGTACCTCCGGGACCAAATGCCAATACAACAGCAGAGATGCCACAATTTCATTAAGAACCCGCTTGAGCTCTGGTGCAGAGACTAGCAGTATGAGGTTGAATGAGCAAGAAGATGAACATATTTTTGAACTGCCTGGGACTATTACATTTCCAACACAGCTCCACTCTCCATTAATAATTTCTGAAGTTGTTCAAGAGAGGCCATTTGATTTCCAGAACACTTCATTTGTTGGAAGACCACGGTCACATGGTCGAAGTTCTCGGAGCGTGTCTTTTTTACGTTCTGAAGATGTAGATGATTTCCTTGGATTGGACATGGAAGGAATTGGAGAGGTCTGTACTGCAGATGACAACTATGCCGATCAAATGAGCGAAAAGATTCTACACCTAAAGATTCCTTTTTGTATACAGGTTTTACAGGCACTGGAGAGGATTGAGCAAGATGAAGAGTTGACATATGAGGTATTTGCTCCTTGAATTTGCTGTCAATATTCCTAATTGTTGTCATCTTATGTTAACCAAGATTATTTATATACTTGCAGCAATTACTGGTTTTAGAGGCAAACATTTTAGAAGGTTTTAGCTTCTATGATCAACATAGAGATATGAGATTAGATGTAGATAACATGTCATATGAGGTATGCTTTCATCAAATAGTTGCTTTTTAATTTGTATTTTTTCTTGCGTAGAAGATTTTTCTGATTTTTTTTAGTTATATTTTTTTTTATTGCAAAATAGCGAGCTACTATTTTCTCTTCTCATGAAGGCCTTTTATTGTTTAAAAAGGTTGAAATCTTTTACCTAAACTTTTCATGTTCTGCTGCTATGAACTAAGATACTGTTAGGTTTGTTGCTAAACTGGGGTTAGATTGAGTTTGTTCAGCTATTACATTAAGTTCAAATCTACGACTTTAATTTTTGAAAAATTTAAATAATTTTTTTTCTCAGGCCGGCCCGGGGATCAATGTGGATGGATAGGGTACCAGAACCACTTATTTATTTTGGAGGGTGAAGCATGATAAGGCTTCCCTATTGCAAATCTAGGATGAGATCTACAAAAGCACACATCAAAGAAAATAATTCTTACTGCACCAACTAATATGCAAAACAAACACTTGATAGAAATAAAAAATACATAAATTTACCCACCAAATAATAATTTCAAGTACATCTAAATTTAGCAGTACTCAAGAAAGTTTGTGGGCATAATAAATTTGCACTACTATTAGAATTTAGACCACAGAAAAACACCAATTGTAGCATGCTTGATAAAATTTCAAGTGCTCACTCAACACTGTTCACACTTCACAAAGTCTGTAAATAAAAACAACAAAGATAGATCATTTAAGTGATCGAAGAAGATCTATTCTCATAGTGATAAGGGGTCCTGAAATTTGTCATGACTGGTACTACCTTCAAAGAACCCACTTTTAATAACTCACACAGAAGTTTAGAAAATTGAGCTTTATTAAGCAATCAAATGACCTTTTACATTCCTTTAGTGGGTCCTATTATAATAAAATAAAACTTTGAATTCTTAGATTCACAAAACAATTTGAATGTGTCTAAAAATATATAACTCTCAATTGAACCAAAATTTTTAGAATAAGGAAATCAATTAGTTGAATCATTGATATAATAGAAATGCCAAATATTGGAGAAAATTAGTTCAGTCTCTAATTTCTGCTATAGTCGCGTATTGAAAAAGAAACAATCGAATTTAGTTCCAGTTATAGTAGGAAGCTACCATTATAAGGAAGTAGCTAAAGTCTGATTCTAGTTAGAATAGCTAACCATAAGTCTCATGCCATATTAGGAAAATTAATTGGAGAAAACAAGAACTTTAACGTTTCCATAGGACAAGAAAGTGATTAGTGTGACAGTGCCAAATCCCCAAATTAGTGGCAATCGGCCTTGGGAAAAATTTAATTTTGACTCATTAATTTTCTATAGAAAGGCAAGAAAAGAATATGCAGGTGAGACAAAAAGTTACCCAACTCTTGTAGTGAAGGACCAATGGTCGAGAAAAAAAATAAATCATCCAAATAATACGGGGAAACAACACATAGAGCTATTAACTTGACAATAAATCATCCAAATAATGAAAACACAACCTGTTCACTATGGGAAAAAATCACAGTCTTACTTTCAAACAGCGTAGCAAAAAACAATAAAATAAAAAAACAATGTGGTTGTTTGGTTTGAAGGATTTTTTGTGCAAAGCATTCTGAATACAGCGGTTAAGAAATGTAGATATTTGGTTTGATAAAAAATAAATTCAAATTAAAATTTGAGGAATTCTAAAGTCCCCATTAGGTCATTTTTATTGTACTCCAAAATCAACAACTTTGATCAATTTTTGAATATTCAATGCATCGCATGTCAACCTGCCACTACTGTCTGTCACCTCCGCCATCAGTCACCATCAGCCTCGCCATTGCCATTGTTGCTTCAAGCTAAATTTATTTTATTATATAAAAAAAAAGTAATCTTCTGTCATTTTATATCTCAGTTATATAACTCTAATGTTTCAAATGTACACATTTATTTTTTGTTGTTTTTTCTTACTCTGCTTTAACTTTTCAACATCCAAACGTCTCCCAAATCAATATTAATGCACATTATTTGCATATCCAAGTCTAGACTTTCATATTTGCTCATTTTGCATAACTTCAAAAATTCTGCTTTTACAGATTGATTACTTTATATTTTCATGCATGTATGGACTTAACTATAGCTTTTCTTGTAAAGTAATCCATAACTCATCACAAGTTCTACAAACTATTGTATAAGATAACACTAATATTCACCGTTAATAGTGGAAACTCTCTTATTTTTCAAAAAACAGTAGGACCAAGGCGAGTAAATTCATCTAATAAAGTTTTAGATGTGAATTCACAAGGAGATGAAAAAGTTGAATAATTCAAAGCATTAGTAGTAGGTTCATGAATAAAGTTATGTTAAATACATTGAAGATTGGACTGATACAATGACTTTACAAAATTTTTATTTAATAAGTAATTATTTCCATGCTCCGTATGATTTTATAGGCTAAATTTTTAAAATGGAGTTTTTTAAAAATTAATTATTTTAGTC